CCTGGAGCCTCCTGGAATGTCATGGTTTAGTCTTGTTGGAATGCTGGAGGAGTTGGAGTCAGACATCAAGGGTGGATGGGAGCATCAGAAGCAACAATAGATGGAGGAAACAAGGGCAGGCAGATCACTCAGACAGTGACTCAGTTTACACACCTCATCAACTGTGGGAAAGCCACTGTAAGGGCAGGTCATGTCCTCTCAGCTAATTCTCTGGGGAAGTGTCCTTGCAGGTGTTCCTCAGAGTGCATTTCCTGTGTTGATATAAAATCTTTTCAATCACAAACTGAAACCAACCATCACAAATCCAGGCCTTATTATTTTGTCATCAACCATTCCCTTCTGTCACGCTTACATTAGACTCTGACAGTGGAAAGTTTATGATTCTCCTGACATGACAGCCCTATACACACAGAGAAGCAAATTGGATGAATGAATTCTTACAAAATAATAGGAATGTCGCCTGAAGTACACTTATTCTTTTTAAGTTCCACAAACTAAAAAAATACTACAAATTTAAAAACACTTAAGTATCAATATAAACTTGATTTCATAAGACATGATAAAGGACAAGAAGAGAAAAATGTAAACAGAGATATCTGCCTAATAAGTGTGTATACAAAGAATAATCATTAATACAAAAAACAAAAGATCATTATTGCCAGTTAGAATACTAGTTTCTATAATGTATCATGTGACTATAGTTATGTTCATGAATACCTTCTTCTACTACCCATTCTGTATGTTTTTCAGCAAAAGCAATCACCTCAGGTGTTCTTGAATCTTATCAGGAAGAGTAACCATAACTATTTGGTTGCTGGGAATTGAACTCAGGACCTTTGGAAGAACACCCAGCGCTCTTATCCTCTAAGCCATCCTATACCTCATCTTGGAATCCCACTGCTCTGGCCCCAATGCTGTCTGCACAAGAGCCCACCTTGTTGCCAAAGCACCAGACTCCATACCCTATGGAATCCATAGCATTCCAGGCAGCTCCATACCCAGCCCTAAAACAATAAGAAATTTAATTACTACTACCTAAAGCAATTCATAATTAGATATATCAATAACTAAAGAAATAAAATTACAGTGTATAGAAGAGGTAAAGTGGTTGTATGGAGAAGGGGATCTTCAGAGGCCATTGTCAACCCACTGCCTTTGATTGCTTCAGGTAAATCAAACTGGACTAAGATAGGGGCTTTTGTTTGCCAAATTGCTGTTGATTTGTTTTTACTGGCTGAATTCATATTATTACTGACAGAATTCATGTTGTAGTTTATTTTATTCATAGCTATCCAGCAATAGTTTTAGTCTCTTAGATTTAAAAGATACTTGTATCACAGTGTTTTATCACAGTTTTGTTTTGTTAAAGAAGTGTTATCAATGGAGGTGGTCACTGATAACACTGTAGACAAATTTAGGGAGTTCTGAATCAGCTTCACTTCACTCTCATGTCCTTTAGTAAAGTTGAAAAAGACCCTATAAGATTAGAAGTGACAGACTGAAGAATGGATGCAGAAACTGTGGTACATCTACACAATGGAGTATTACTCTGCAATGAAAAATAAGGAAATCATGAACTTTGCAGGTAAATGGTGGGGCCTAGAAAGAATCATCCTGAGTGAGCTGTCCCAGAAGCAGAAAGACACACACGGTATATACTCACTCATATAGACATGTAATACAGGATAAACCTACTAAAATCTGTAGCTCTAAAGAAACTAATCAAAAGAGAGTACCCTGACTAAAATGCTCAATACCCATCCTGAAAGGCAAAGAGGATGGACATCAGAAGAAGAAGAAAATAGGAAAAAAACATAAGAACCTGCCACAGAGGGCCTCTGAAAGGCTCTGCCCTGCAGACTATCAAAGCAGATGCTGAGACTTATGGCCAACTGTTAGGCAGAGTGCACTTCTTATGAAAGAAGTAGGAAATAGTAAGATCTGGAGAGGACAGGAACTCCACAAGGAGAGCAAGAGAATCAGGAAATTTGAACACAGGTCTTCCCAGAGACTCATACTCCAACCAAGTACCAGGCATGGAGATAACCTAGAACCCCTACACAGATGTAGCCCATGGCAGTTCAGTGTCCAAGTGGGTTCCATATTAATGGGAAGAGGGACTGCCTCTGACATAATCTGACTGGCCTACTCTTTGATCATCTTCCCCTGAGGAGGGAGCTGCCTAACCAGGCCACAGTAGAGGATAATGCAGCCACTTTTGATGAGAACTGATAGACTAAGATCAGAAGGAAGGAGAGGAGGACCTCTCTTAGCAGTGGACTTGGGGAGAGGCATACGTGGAGAAGGAGTGGGATCGGTAGGGGAGGAGGTAGGGGCTTATGGTGGGATACTAAGTGAATAAAGTGTAATTAAAAAATAAAATTTAAAAAAGGGAAAAAGATTAGAACTGGCAAAGGAAAACTGATTATTTCTGAGCAAGTCTTCAAGTCAATCTTCTTTCTCTGCTCAGTCTAAGGCAAGCAGCTGCTCCTCTAGGTTTTGTGACACACTCAGGATGTGGTTGCAACACTGTGATAATCTTTTGCACAGTAATAGACCGCAGAGTCTTCAGCTGTCAGGCTGCGGAGCTCCATGTAGGCTGTGCTGGAGGATTTGTCTACAGTCAGTGTGGCCTTGCCCTGGAACTTCTGGTTATAGCTGGTACTGCCACTTCCAGGATAAATCCATCCAATCCACTCCAGCCCCTGTCCAGGCCTCTGCTTCACCCAGTGCATGATGTAGCTGGCAAAGTTGTATCCAGAAGCCTTGCAGGACAGCTTCACTGAGGACCCAGGTCTCCCCACCTCAGCCCCAGACTGCTGCAGCTGGACCTGGGAGTGGACACCTGTGGAGAGAAAGGCAGAGTGGATGGCATTGTCATCTCAGCCCCTGTCTCCTCTTCAGATTTGGAACTGGTGAGTCCCTTACCTGTAGTTACTGACAGGAGGAAGAGGATGACCCAGCTCCATTCCATCCTGAGGGAGAGTGTAGCCAGGGACTCTGCAGAGGACAATGATCACTTGATGATTTGGGGACATGGACATCCCTCTATTTACCACCCTAGACTCCCATGATTTGCATATTCATGAGCAGGCTCTTTCTTAGATAAGGACCTAGTGCAGCTGGAGAAGAAGGAAGTAGAGGACACCTGGGTCAGGCAGCAGGCTGCTGAGGTCCAAGTCCTAATCCTGTCCTAGGAAATGCATCCCACACCCCTTCCCATCCTTCAGTTATAGTCAATTAATGTTTGCCTTTCCAACAGGTTATATACTGAAAAAGTCACTCAAATGACCAAAATTAAATATAGTTCAGGAATATGAGCACAGCAGTGATTATTACAGCACAATCTACAACAACTATATTATAGAAATGAACTATACATGTGTCAGCACAGGAATTTGTCCATAAGAAGTTAAATATATAACTATATATGTGATTCATTATTAAATATGTTTATATATGTAAAATATATAATGTATATTATATGTAATAATAAATATAAATATAACAAAACAGGAGTTTTTCATCAAATAGAATAAGAAACTTACACTCTATTGGGAAATGGATGCAATTAGAGACAACTGTATTAATTAAGACCATCTCAGACACCAGACATTGAATGAATCTCTCATTAGTAGTTCTTAGATACTGCTTAGTTATCCACAACTGTACATACAAACACATGATATAAATGAAATCGCCAAGTATAATACAGGGAGACTGGGAAGAGCAAGAAAAAGAAGGGCAGATGTTATGGGGGAATTATGCACAGTGTACAAAATACAATTGTGTGAAAAGGCTAAACAAATAAATTTGATATTTCTGTATTTCATATGGATTTTAGTTTTAGCTCTTTAGAATTTCAATCATACATAAAATATGTTATAATCTGACATCACTATTAGTACTCTCTCCACTATGTATCAACACGATGGCTCTCTGGTTCCCCTTAGGACCATCCACTAAGTCTCTCTCCCAACATCCTGACCTACTTGTTTCATTAACAAATAACACAAGGAGTCTAATTAACACTATTTAAATACACATAGGTGGGACTATCTCTAATAAATAGTGAACCACTAGAAACCTTCCCAAAAAGTATATTTTGTCCATTAGTAATCAAATACCAATAGACCCTCAGCTTGGTATGGGCTCTCAAGAGTTCCTCCAAATCTATTTTGCAATATATTTAAAATATATATAAAATATATAAAAAAATACTATTTTCAGTAGTGACAACAGGGTACACATACCCCATGCCACAAATGTGTTATCCTCAGAGGTCAGCTTACAAAATTCAAGTTTAAGGGAATTAACTGATATTACTAATCTTGAAAATAGATCTCTTTACTTGGTCAGTCATTTCACAGTCCCTCATATAGTAATTTTCACCTGTTTGATTTGTGTGGGTCTTGTGCTGGTAAATATACCACTGAGAGTTCTTGTGTGCAACAAAACATGTCAACTTCTGGAGATAAAATCTCATGCCTTTACACTCTATTCTCTGCATCAGACATTCTTATTTTTCACTGTTTTGTGATGGTCCTTGATTTCACCGTGAGAGGTTGCTATCACAGACTCATTTTTGGAGGAGTTATCTGACAGTCATTCTCAGCACTCTGAGCATCACAAATGTCCACATCAATCATTACACACTGCACATAGACACTGTAGGAACCGAAGCTGAGAACAGCACTGATCTGTTGTATAAACATAAATACATATGTAGCATGACCATTAGCAGAACAACTAGGGCCTACGAGACCCTATATCATCATTAGCCATGGGCTTTTGGACATGTTTACATAGGGCGAAGTCTTTCTGTGGTTCAGGCCACAAATTCAGTTGGAAAGCAGTTGGTGGCTATGTGACAGCCAGCACTAGTGGCACTGATGTTTGATAATGTCCACTACAAGGCTGTGCACTGCTTGAGATCACTCATGTCTTTGCTCTTCCTTAAAGTACATAGACTTTCCTACACTAGGAAACATAGCCAACATGGGGGATTTTCTGCTCAGGTAGGTTTCTGTGTGTGCTACAACTAAAGTCCTTAGCTTACAGAGGATTAAAAAAATGTTAAAGAATTATTTTGACCTCAGTCAGGTGACGGTAAGGAAGAATACAAATGGGAACATTTGTGTGGTGAAACACTCATCCTTGCTCTCTCTTGATGCCAGTATAAACTAGTACACTGACTTTGGAAACCAGTTTGGAGAATTCACCAAAAATAATAAATGAAGCTCTTCTGTGTCCCAGCTACATCGCTCCAGAGCATACACTCAAACGACTCTACATCTCCTTACACAGACACTTGCACTTCCATGTTTACTCACAGCACGTTCTTCATGCACTGTTCACGGCAGCTAGGGAATGGAGTCATCTTTGATGTCCAACAAAGGACAAGAGCATGGCTGTGTTGGACATTGTGTCTGCATCCAGGGAGGCTCTGTCCTAATATTTCTATATAGTTAGTTCTGCTGGTGCTTAGGAGTAGTCATCAATCCATTCAATCCCACAACGAGGCTTCTGACTCACCCAGCTCCCACATACAGAACATGCAGAAGCTATCTGAGTCAAAATCCTATAGGCACCCATGGCTGAAACTCTGGGACTCCTCAGTCCGCACCAGCCTTCTTCAGATGAACACCTGTAGAGAGGATGCCATGATCCCTGCAGTATCTGACTCCCCTTAGGCCTCCTAGGAATGCCCTTACCTGTAGCTGCTGCCACCAGGTAAATGATCATTCACCTTCAGTCCAACGTGAAACCTGTGTGCGTAGGGACTGTGGAAAGAGGGTACTAATATGGCATAGTTACTTGTGTAGAGAGTCCTGTATTTACCACCAAAACTGTAATTTATATGAGCACAAGGAAGAGAATTTCTTAGGTCAAGGAATGATCCTTTCTGATCAGAACCAGCAGAGGTCTTCTAAGGTATTCAGGGCTACGGTGGGTTTTAGGTGTCTGAGAAAATGCATTCCCTGCTCCAATCTGGCACCTGTGCAGACAGAGCTCTGTTTGCATCTGCTGAGAATCCCACTGAGGATCCATTCACCGTATCCATGTTCCTTCACGTGAATCGTATTTCAAAGTTTCAAGAGTCACTTGAATCTCCTTAGGGTCAACAATATTGACCATTGACCATCCTACAACATCAAACACACAGAGCTTTGGAGGCTGATGGTCATCCTAATCCAATAATCAACAGGACTGTGAATACCTCTTCTATCACCTGGAAATTCTGGGACACATTTCCCCATGTTGCTCAGGTCCTGAGGCTCAAATATTCTTAAATTTTATTTATAATTCTTTCATGAACTAGTATTCTGTCAAATGGGATTGGGAATCTTATTTTGGTCTTGGTGACTTCAGTGTCAATGTTATTAACTAATAACCTTTCATTGTAGCATGGAGAAGGTACATGCCAAACTACATCATGGTCTCTGAATGTCATGGTGCTTGCAATGAAATCCACAGCTATTCGGATTTCTCAGTAAAGAGCTTCCTTTTCCTTCAGCTGTTCTTCACTTCTTAGAGAATTAGTGGATCTACAGTGCCCCCTGCTGGTTCTGAGAATTCTCTGGTGTAAATTCTCACATAGAGACTATGACTCTTGTTTCTCTTTTTTGTAATGTACCTGGTGGAGCTGAGAAGACATTATAAGGATGAATGGATACCTCTGCCTCCAGAGTTGTCTCTATGTTGATTCTTTCTCTAGGGGTTCGTACATCTAGCTACTGCAGGGACCAGTGAAGAAGTAGTGAATTATTATATAGACAGAAGAAAAGACAGGATCCAGAAAATCTCTACAAGCCATTTTCCCCACTGCGTCAGCTGTAATTGAGACAGAAAATACAACCACCAAGAAGAGGAAGAAGTGTGGTATTCACAGATCAGTTCTCAGCTACAGAAATTTTTTTTCACATTTGAGAAGTAACCAGATTTTAGAAAACTTTGGACTAGGAGTCATTCTGTTTTCTAATTTTTAAGAAATTAGAAAACTATTTTCTCCTTTATTTAATTCTCTTTTTTATACTTTATTAATTACACTTTATTCACCTTGTATCCCCCCTGTGGTTTCCTCCCTCCTCCCGTCCCAATCCCTCCCTTCCTCCACCCTCTCCACGCATGTCCCTCCCCAAGTCCACTGATAGTGGAGGTCTTCTTTTCCTTCCTTCTGACCCTAGTCAACTAGGTCTCACCAGGAGTGGCTGCATTGTCGTCTTCTGCGGCCTGATAATGCTGCTTCCCCCTCAGGGGAAGGTAATTAAAGAGCAGGCCAATCAGTTCATGTCAGAGACAGTTCCTGTTCCTAATACAATGGAAACCACTTGGATACTGAACTGCCATGGGCTACATCTGTGCAGGGGTTATCTCTATGCAGAGTCCTTGGTTGGAGTATCAGTCTCAGGAAAGACCCTCGTGCTCAGATTTTTTGGTTCTCTTGCTCTCCTTGTGGAGTTCCTGTCCTCTCCAGATCTTACTGTTTCCCACTTCTTTCCTAAGATTCCTAAGATGATAGGGCTCATTTGGGATCTTGTGCAAGAAAAAAATAATGATAACTTGTGCTGGTTTACAAGACTTGATACTAAACCATTTATTTCTCTGAAACCAGGCTTAGCCAGCGATATGCTTTTGTATCCTCATCTTCTGTGTCCAGGCAAAACTACCGCATTAAGGAAAAGTGATCAAAGAGCAGGCAACAGAGTCCATATCAGAGACAGCCCCTGTTCCCCTTACTAGGGTACAAACATGGAGAATGAACTGTCTA